ATTATATTATATTATATTATATTATATTATATTATATTATATTATATATTATATTATATTATATGAGCAGTGCAACAGAACACCTGCCCAGTATGTGCCAAGGTTCTGGTTTGATTCTCAGAATAAAAAACAGAACAAAGACTAGAGAATTCCACCTCTGTAGGGAACTTTGGGCTAGACATTAGGAAGGAAAAGGTAGAAGAACAAACAAAAAGAATCCAACATCAAACAGTTTAAATCTAATAGGTCATGGCTACATATTGTAAATACAATTACCTTCAAGACACTGCAAGTCACCTTCCACTAATGCCTGTGGCCATCTGCAAAGTACAGCTAGAAATACAGATCCAAATACCCCATTCAAAAGCAAAACAGTATTAATACTGTATTACTAATATTCTTTCCTAAGTTCCACATGTTCTACAGAGACTTCTCAATAAGCTAGTTAAGAATAAAAAAGTAAAACTCTAAAAAGAGATTCAAGAAACAACTCCTAATCGAACAAACTGTTTTGCTGGAAGCATATTTCTTGAGACTCTAACTACTATGCATTACAGAAAGTACCAGGTGTGTACATGTAACCAAGACAAGAGTCCTGTCTTGTTCATGCTCAGACCTGCAGAGCTCTTGGTGGAAGAGAGAGATGAAAAGTAAATTAAGATCCATGGTGACACACTTGACACCCCTAGTCCTTTGCCTTACCATTATTGAGTATGTCACCATGGATCTTAATTTACTTCTAGTCAGAGGACTAGGGGTGTCAAGAAAGATTCCATGAAGAAAATGCGGCCAGAGATCTGAATAAGTTTACCAAGTAACATGTAACTCTCCCAACACACATACACAGCCACACATGAAAACACATGCTTATGCTTCAGAGTTAAGGGGCAAAAGCTGAAAACAGTTAACTCAATCTAAACAGACAAGACTTTCAGTTTGGCCATATGCAAAATGTGTCTAGCAAAAGGAAACTTTGTATTTTTCTAGACAATACAGTTTTACATTTGCATACTGTATAAGCATACATCCATATCAAAGGTCACACAATGTAAACTATTTTATCACTTCATAATGAAGCACTCTTCCCCAATGAGTTATATACTAAAACATATTTATCTTCATTTCAGAGAAAAAGCTGTCAGAAAATAGTAAGAATTCTATTTCTATAATATCCCTGATATTGATTCAATAAGCTATACCAGCATAATTTGTCCAGAGTTGAAATTTTAAGTAGAAATCAAAAGACAACACACAGAATAACCACAGAAACAAACAAACAAAAACCCCTACAACCTAAAGAGTTCAATAAATTAATCCAAGGTAAATATTAAAAAATAATTTTAGAACTTTAAGCCCTAATTTTCCTTATAGTTCCTTTCAAATGTAAATTTTCTATAGTAGATACCAACTTGGGCACAGCTTTTTCCCATATTGAAAATGTTACAATGAAATTCAATTCCTTCAAATATCAAAGGTAGAAATCATTCTTGGTCAGGAAGGACAGTCACCTGAATCAACAAGAACTATTTCTACCATAGCAGTAGATCTTTTGATTCATCACCATATGCACTTCCACTCAAATTATCAGGATAACTGATCAATTCTGCCTTTAGGTACCTTGACTTACTGTGTTTTGTGTCACAAAATCCATTAGAGGGGCTGGTGAGGTGGCTCAGCAGCACTTGCTGCTCTCCCAGAGGACCCGAGTTCAGTTCCTAGCCACAGTGGGCTTAACTCTAACCCTGGCTTCCTCCAGCCTCGGAAAACACTTGCACTCGCTTGCACATTACCCACATGTGAGCATACACCTACACATAACTTAAACACCACTCTTAAAAATACCACTAACGTCCAGATAAGAAAATCATACTTGATAGTATCTCTTCCTAAACTACCACCATTCGTGTAAGTTTTCCTCCAATGTCTACTCAAACATACGGACCTAGTCTCTTTCTACATGTGTGGTATCAAAATGAACTCTCCACAGTGAGTTTTTAATTTTTATCATGTGTAGTTGTATGTGGATACCAAAAGAAGACAACTTAAGAGAGTTGATTCTCTTGTTCCATGATGTGGGTCTCAGGGATCAAACTTAGGTCATCAGGCCTGGTGACAAATGCCTTTACCCAGTGAGCTATGTCATTCATTTGACAAAATTTTAATCAAAAGCTACATCACTTCATAAGAGTCCAAAATTGCAAACTTATTCATCCTGGTTTACTGCTACCTACTCATGTTCTATTTACACACAAAGGTCAAATTTTCTTATCAAGGAAATTCATTAATAAATAAGGAAATAACTATATTATCTCATGGAGAGTGAAAAAAATTCTGTAATGGTCCATCAAAGTTTAAGTTTTGCTAATATCAGCACCTACTTAAGAAAACAAAGTAAGAATTCTATTTCTAGAACATCCCTGATATTAAAGAATACGATAAACCAGTGTGATTTGTCCAAAGAGATGAAATTTTAAGTAGAAATCAAAGGACACCACACAGAGTAACTTCAGGAACAAGAAAAAAACATACTTCAAAAGTAATTATTTTATACTACTGGTAAATTAGAAATAATGGTAAACCTGTTCTCTTTAAGTTTAAAAAAAAAGCCCAAAAAGCACCCACCTTTATAGAGGAAAAACAAACCCACCTTTATCCTCTTTCTTTTAAAAAGGATATGATTTGGAGTTTTATTTCATTTTCAAAATCAGACATTTCTCAGATGAATGGGCTACAAGCTACTCACAGATGTCAATTTGCTTCACCTTCCATCATAGGCATTTATTCTAAACATTTTAAGAACTGAGCTTCCCACAGGCTGCGTTTACTGTGGTGCAGGTGACTCTCGGCCTCTACCACCTGGCAAGGTTACAGGCACCCCCAGACTGCATCTTTAGAACCAAAGTGCTCTGCCAACACACGTACCGCCTTAACCTCTGTGTATTAATGAAGCATTAACAGGGATGAAAAAAGTGAAGACATTATTTCTGGTCTAGAATTAAAAACTACTTACAAAAAAATCATTAAAAAATGAAAAAGGTTCCTCTTTAAAAGTAACGGTCTTGCAAAGGCAGCAAAAGTGAAAAGTGAAAGAAATTGTCTCGTCCTGTACATTTTGACCTTTTCCTTCAGCTTTAAGATAACAAGAACGAGATAGGAGAGCACTGCATATAGTCCTTATTAATGATCTTGGACCATTACGAAACATCAAAGACACAAAACTTGACCATAGGCAAATAATTAAATGCAAACACAATCTCAGTGTACTGGATTTTTATAGAACACTGGGATAAGATTACCTTACAAAATATCAAAAGATGAGTCCACTGACTTTTGAGAAGGAACTGTGGTCAAATATATCAATCATTCCCAAACATAAACTTGTAATGGAAGTATGCACTTTTCTATCTCATTCTCTCCACATAAATGAACCCCACTTATTTGTTTGGGAGGAGTAATCAATAAAGACAAGATTCCATATCTCAAAACTTCTCACTATGGAAAATAACAAAATGTATTCAGTAAATATGTCGTCCTTGTGAGCAAATTTGGTTAACTCAGTATCATTCGTTCTATCGTTTGCCAGGAAACTAAGGATCATATTGCTGTATTTTATTAGGAATTGTCCAGATAATTAAAGAAGAATTTTTGACTAAGAACTTTATGAAAATGAAGAGAAACACTCTTAACAACTTAGGTTTCCAGGTGTTGAAAAGTGGAGATGCCTCCTAGGAGTTCCAAGAAAGTGTAAGACTTTGTATGTAAGATTTTTGTGTATATATATATATATATATATATATATATATATATATATAAAATAACGTACTAATGGGGGCTAAAGTAAATGCAAATAACAAAAACTTAGAAATAATTTTACAAAATAAAATTACAATTAGCCTTTCCTAAAGGGCCTAAAGATAACAAGAATTATAAGCTTTCTCCTGGACAAACAGTACCTCATTAAGAACTACCGGGTTTCTCTGAAACTTATTTCTTCTATGAAACTTTCAAGTTAAGACTTAAGACAGCAAAAGGTAGAGAGGCCTCGGCGGAAACAGAAACCAGGGCTTGCCAACTTCACAGACAGAAGTGTCTCAGGTTCCTCCGCCGCCCCAGGACCATCCGAACTCAGTCTCTACACCACCGGGGAAGCTTCCCTCTTCGCGTACGGTGGCAGCAGCAGCAGCATCTTAGTTGCTCTCCTCCTCCCTCCACCTTGCAAGGCCCTTCGGTATCTCAGGGCCTGGAGGCTCCTGAGGCCCGTTAGCCAGTCCGATGTCCCCATCTTACACAAACAAAAACACACAAGTGGCGGAGGATGCGCGTGTACTGAGAGACTGGGAGGATTCAAGGAGCAGCAGCTGCCGGGAACGTGGCAGGGCAGTCTAGAGCGGCCGGGGCTCCTCAGATGCTGCCGCCTTCTCCTCTACCCCAGGAAGCAGCAGGGCGGCAGTGGCTGCTCCGCGCCGGCGGGAGCCGGGAGAGCCGAGTGCGGGGAAAGCCCCGCAGCGGTCGGCCGGGACCGGGCCTAGGCTCCGGAGGAGCTGCTGCTGCTGCTGCTGCTTCGGCGGCGGCGGCGGCGGCCCGAGCACGGCGACGCTTTACGTCTTGTCCACCCCGCCACACACCCCCTCCCTCCTCCAGCGCCGCCACCCCACTCCCCGCCCGCTCCGCTCTCCCTCTCTCGATTGGAGCCGAGACAAAAGCAACGGGAAGCGGCGGGCCAGGGCGCTACCCGTGGGCCCCGGGCGCGACCGGACTAGCCCCGAGGCATTCCCCCGCCTTGCGGGGGCCCTCAATCCGCCTCCCCCGCCGCGCGCCCCGCTGCCAGACTTCCGAAAATTTGCCAAAAACTCACCGCATGAATTTTCTTGTCCCGCGGATCCAAGATGGCGACGTATCCACCGCGGAGGCTGCTGGGAGCAAGACCTTTACCCTCTGACCCCCGCCGTGACCCCCGTCGCTCCGACTTCGCTCTAGGCGGCGGCAGGAGGCAGCGAGCGATTGCTCGCCGAGTGGACGGGAGTGTCGCCCGCACGCCGATCGACCGGTGAGGAGCGCGGCGCTCCCTGGGACCCTTCCCGGGGTCCCGCCGGCCGCCGCGGAGGCGCGGCGCTGCCCGGTGGCGAGGACCGAGGACGGGGCCTCTGCGGCCTCCGACCGTCTCCCGAGGCCCGCCCGCCCGCCACGCCGGGAGCTGCGGCCTGGGGTCCGAGCGCGGCCTCGGGTGCGGGGCGGGGAATGGGGGAGGCGGCGTGGGTCCGCCCACCCGGGGACGCGCGGCGTGTTTGTGTTTGTGTTGTTGTCGGACACCCCGCCCCCGAGCACCTCCTGCGGAACGTCCCCGGGCTGTTACTACCTGCCGGCGCGGCCGCCGCGGTGCTCGGCTCCTCCCGCCGCCCCGCAGCCTGCGGTGCTTGGGTGCGCACTCCCAAACACCCGCCGCACGTCGCCGTCACCTCCTGAGAAGTGAGTTCCCATCCGCCGAAACCTGGGCGTCTGATGCCCCCCCACCCCCCCTCGGTCTGAACCTGGTGAGAGGAAGTAAGGAGAGCGTGTTTTTAAAGCACTGCCGGGAGTGCTCAGTCTAACCGAACGGTGTTTATGGCACTTTATTTCGTTCCCGCCCGGCGCGCCCTTTGTAAACCTTAGTGACCAGCTGGCCCATCCAGCCGACCTTTTGAAAATGCTGTGGCTGGGGTGGAAACTTGAGGGAAAGAACGTTTTGCTCTCCAAAACAGTACCGTCCCTGAGAGTGAAATTCTTTTTCATTTCCATATTGTGCTCTTACTTTATTCCTTTGAACGTCGTAAACTCCATGTTTTGTACCTACTAAACTTGGTAAAAACCTGTGTTTTGACGTTCTTAGTTTCATAACATTGTTATTCCTGTTTGAGTGACAACATTTGTTAATGTGGATGACTGTCGAATTGAAGTGAATAAAATTTCTGCTGTTTTATAAAATTACCTTCTTCACACCCTCCCCAATTAGTCATTATTTATAGCTTCGATTTATTGTAGAAAACTAGAGACAAGAAATAAAAGCCTACTGTGAAATAAAATGACGTTGGCATTGTTTTGAAGATGGGTATTTATCAGCAAATGTGTAAATTTGTCTAAATGCCAACAGGTATGGGTATAGCCAGTAGAAGAAGGATTTATTTTAGTTTTTGAATTAAATACTACACTGTTTTGTGCTTTGCTGTTGTTGTTTTTGTTTGTTTTTACTTCAGAAAATTCAAGAAGGAACAGCACAGCCCTGTTTGGTCCTTCCCCCAACAGTTTCTTCCTGCCTCTTCTGCTTTCTCTTCCTCTCAAGTTAACATCTACTGCCATAAGGTAGTGTGTTAAAAGACTGGATGTACCACTAGGTATATGTAGTTTGTGTGTACAGATGCATATAATACAGATCACCTTAATCTAGCTACTACTACTTGGAGCCCTTAATATGTATGTAGTAGCATTATCACATTAAGTAACATTAAATAGTATTAATTCATTATTCTTTTACTTATGTTAACTTTAAAAACACAGTTTTGTGAAAATTGGAAAACTTGCTTCCACTAGGGAACGTCTGAGAGTCTTACTATGCCTGGTTTTTACTGGGTGAGATAACATTTTCATAATAACTGTGTGGAGTTTAAGAAAAAAAGTCAGTGTTACTATTGGTCTGAAGAACACGAGTTGCTTCGGACAAATGCCCATGCTTTGAATTCTATACCATGTGTTGAATCTATCATAAGTTGGTAACATTTATTTAATAGGTATTGAATGACCTACCATTTGTTAAGAGCTTATGTTGATGGTTCAACATGATGATGAAAGCATTCGATAAAAACTTTTAATTGTCCTGTTACATCCAAAGCTTCATTTTGAGGCATAATTTCATAGGCATTTATATCTAGTACTTGGAAGGCAGAGACAGGCCTATCTCTTGAGTTCCAGGCCAGCCTGATCTGCATAGCTAGTTGCAAATAAATAAATAAACAAATAATTTGATTTTGTAAAAACACAATACTTCATCTTAAAAGTCAGACATGGAGACGTTTGTTGTGATTATGTTACTGTGGAGACTGAAGCAGGAGAGTCAACCTGAGTTTGAGGCTATCCTGGACAGCATACTCTAAGACCTATCTGAGAAATAGATCAGCTTCATTGCAATTGCTGATAACACTCATATTTACTCGTGTTTTGTTTTGTTTTGGGGGCTAAGAATTTTGTTAGTTTTACTTGAAAAACAGTTCATATTGATGAGTGTGTTTGTGTGTTTTTGAAATATGTGTTCAATTTTTTGTACACACGAGTTTTTCACTTGGATTGATGGGGAAATGCTTTATTAAGGAAAGAATGAGTGTAATCATTTATAGAATAGGAAGGTCTTCCTTTAAAAAAAAAGTGGATGTAATACTGGCATGTCTGTCATGACAAGGAATAAAAAGGATAAGTATCTCAAATTTAACTGTCTGAAAAGGACGAATGACTCCTCTGCGGCCACCCCCCACTTATTCCTCTCTTAGTGTGTTTCTGAGTTCCATAAATAGTAACACTGTTTACCCACTTAAGCATAAAATTTGAAATCCTCAGTAATTTCTTCTCACACTCCATCCATCTTACCCATGTGTACCATGAGTTCTTTACAAATTATTCTGAATTCCTCCACTTCTATCAGCTCCCTCCTACCCTCTGTAATCTTCCCGTTATAGATGTAACAGTACCTACATTATATGTTCCCCAGCTGCCAGCCATTCTTGTATACCAGCCAGAACCCTATTATTTGATTTTTTTTTTATTCAGTTTATGTTCCTTAATTTTTTTAAAAACCCTCCTGTAGCTTCTCTATATGTATGGAATGAAAACCAAAATGACCATTCAAGCTGACATAATTTAACTTCAGCTTTTTCTGCATTTGTTTATCCTTTTTGTCTCCTCTTTCTATTGTATTCCACACTCTTTCTAGTTTATAGCATGGACTGCTAGATATCCTCCAAAATTTCTTTTTGAGAGTAGTAAATGTGGTCACATGGGTACTTGGAGTAAAGTCTGAGATACATATATATAATATATATATATAATATATATATATTATATATATTTTAGTCTATGTTGTAGTCATGGGATAGCATTGACCAGTTGATTACATTTCATTCTCTTTATCTGTAATCCTTATCATGAAATAGTCTTCCAAAACAACCCTCTGATTAAAATCAAGGGTGCGATTCATCCCTTTCCCTCTTCTCTGTACTTTGTGCTCTGAAATACTGATAGTCTGGAGCTCTCCCTGCCAGTTTAGGACATATATATATTTCTTCATTTTAGGAATTGGCAAAACCTTAAGCTGGTAGAAACTGAGACCCTTCAGGACTTTGTCAGTCAGAATGCAGTATCTGCACTACATTCCTTTCAAACTGATCTGGGGGCTAAATTGCTTACTTTTTTCTTTTCTTTTTTTTTTTTTTTTAGTTATCAAACCACTGTTTGGAACTAAACATTGAGCCACATGCCCATAATCCCAACACCTGGGAAGCTGAGTCAAAAGGATTATCACATGAATGAGCTTAACATAGGCTATGGGAGAAAATGTCAGCCTGCATTATGTTGTTTCTGTTAGGCCTTCCTTGGCCACCCTCTCTCAGATGGCTTCCTTCATGTGTTTTCTCAAATATTATCATCTATAGGAGTAATTGCAAAATTTGTAAAAAGCCAAGCAAGGGAAAAAAACACTAAGCTGATGAGATACCTGGACTTTCCAGACCTTGGTAATGAAGATAGGTCCTCTCCCACTCCCCCACTTCCACCCCAAGGAAACATGTAAGTTTCTTGCAGAAAGGAAAGGGAGCATACTGCATATTGGCAAATCAAAGCCAAACACTAGAGTATATTGAGAGCAGAAATTCTCATTGGCAGTCTGATTGATTTTATAAATTAGTAAATTTCAGCTTCTTCATCTCAAATACACACAAGAACCTTGAGCTTAGAATGTTAACAAAAGGTTAAGAGTCAGCCCAACACAGTGACCATGTGCAGAGCATTAATCTTTAGAGGTTAACAAATTACTTAGGTGATTCTGAGGACAGGTCAGAGAAACAGGCCTGCTCACTCTGCTGAGTATAAAGTGGCTCTAAGCCTTGAGTCTTTGTTCAGTTCCTCTTCAACAAACACTTAGTAAGGGAACAGGGACTTAGTAAGGGAACAGGGATGTGTTTAACAGAAGGATTGCTAGAGTATGCATCGCACTGTTGACTAGCATAAGCAACATCCATGTAGTGAGCAGTACTCAGCCATTAAAAATTATGCTGGTAGTTTCTTTTGTGGACCTCTCGGGTGGTAAATGGTTGCTTGTTTCGAGTGTCTACACATAGTTTTCCCCGTATAACTGTACTAACTCTTAGAAAGACATCAGGTGCTTAGGCTTATGATTCACACCTGCGACCTCATTTGATCCTAATTCCATCTTTACAAGCTCATTTTCAATACAGTCACATTCTGAGGTAATGGATATTAGAATGTTCAGGCATGATACAGCTCAACCTATAACACATAGGAGGGCAGAAAAG